ACAAAATTATATACAAAGAACTCATATACCTCAACACCAAAATAACAACCCTATTAAAAAAATGGGCAGAGGACCTGAACAGACATTTCTCCAGGGAAGAAATATAGATGGCCAACAGTCACATGAAAAGATGTTCCACATTGCTAATCATCAAGGAAATGCCAATCAAAACCACAATGAGATATCACCTCATACCAGTCAGAATGGCTATTATTCAAAAGACAGGCAATAAGTGTTGGCAAGGATGTGGAGAAATGGGAACCCTCCTACACTGTTGGTAGGAGTATCAATTATGCAGCCCTTGTGGAAAGCAGGTTCCTCAAAAAACTAAAAATACAAATACTATTTGACCCAGTAATTCTACTTCTAGGCATTTACCCAAATAAAACAAAATCCTTGATTCAAAAAGGTATGCACCCCTATGTTTATTGCCACATTATTTACAACAGCCAAGCTATGGAAGCAACCTAAGTGTCCATCAGTAGATGAGTGGATAAAGAAGATGTGGTGCATATACACAATGAAATATTATTTAGCCATAAAAAAAGAAATCCTACCATTTGCAACAACATGGATGAACCCAGAGGATATTTCACTAAGTGAAATAAACTAGGCAGTGAAAGACAAATATTGTATGATTTCACTTATTTGTGGACTCAAAAACAAAATGAAAAAAATATCAGTAGACTCATAGACACTGAGAAGTGACTGATGGTTCCTTTGGGGAAGGACTGGGGTGAACTGTGGGGGAGAAAGGTATGAAGAGACACAAAAATTCTGAATCATAATATAAGTTGGTCATGGGAATAGTAGTACAGCATGGAGAATATAACCAGTGATTCTATAACAGCTTCCTATGTTGACAGATAGTAACTGTTGGGGCGAGGATTTAATAGTAAGGGTAACTGTGGCACCACTGTGTTGCATACTTGAAGCCAATATAAGAATGTATATCAATGATACTTCAGTAAGAAAAACACACACACTCATCTTGCTTGTCTTTGTATTTCTCCAGAAATTCTTAAGCATATTAACGTTCAAGTTGCTGAGTTAGCCTCAAATGTTTAGCTTCTGCCATCCCTGGCTCACATTACCACACAATGCTTCTCATGGTTAAAAAATTAATAATAACGTTTTAAAAAAATGAGTAATTTAGCTGAGTAAGTAATAAAGTCCTAAAACATCTTGTCAGGTAAAATATGAATTCACTGCAGTTTTTATAAATATGCTCCATGAGCACACAAACATCTGTAGAATATTAACAAGTTAAAGAAGTCAAAAGGGTTTTTCCCTGTTGCAGATATTCTTGGGTATTTCAATATGTGCATCTCCTAGAGGGGTACAGCACATTCACACATTTGGTTTTCTTTACAGCAACTCACAGGACTCTTGCTCTGAGTTACATATTTGGGAAATGCTGGAATAAATTATATCCAGTCCTCTGTATTTAGATTTGCTGAAAAGCTTGAGCTTATTAGTAACAGCTAGGAAAGAGGAGGAGGAGAGACTTGTTTTTCGATCTCAAAACGCAGTGGATTTGTTAAAGCAATGACATTTATTAAGTTTTTAATCTGCCTGACCTATTTGAAACACTAATAATAGATACAAGTTCAACATTTTATCAAGTTTCATCCATACAATTTTTCAAACTGATAGTATCAGACTACATTATATTTCAATCATTCAAATATTTAAATAAGTTTTCACACTTTAAGCTCAACTGGAAGTGTTTCAATATTTCTTTACTTGCAAGATGTTACACAATTATTTTCTTACTAAATATTGGGCAGTTTTCATACACTGTGCATTGATTCAAAACTGGTATTTCCATTTCAAAAGCAAATAGACCATCATGTGAATCAAATCCAGATCATGAATTTGATTATTTTGTTTAATGTCACTCATGACTGAGGAAGGTTGCTATTTGGAGAAGGATAACTGAGAGTGGCTATTTGTTTTTGAGCAGTGCTTTGACAATATGTGTAAGTATCTTTAGGTGGGAAACAGAATTATAAAAAGAACACAGAGTCACTGCTCTGTTAATGTACTCCAGAACTGCCAATGGTAACTGCAGATTTTCAGCTAAAACAGTGTCTAGAATTTAATTTTTATTACAAATTTCCTATAAAGAAAAAAACAGCTGTTTCAGAAAAATTAGAAGAAAAAATTATGTTTAATGCTAGGCTTTTTACTGATTCATTCAACAACAAATACTAAGAGCACCTATCACATGCCAAGCAATGTCCTAGCTGCTGTGGATACTACAGTAAACAAAAGCCAGTAGAGAGGACTATCCCTATGGAGCACATATGAAATAAATAAATCATCTAGGATATGAGCCCTGCAGAGGAGAAAGAAGTAATTAAGGAAGCGATGGGAAAGTGAGGGAGAGAAGCAGTGATAATCTTAAATTTGTTGTCAAGGCCTCAGTGTAAAGGAGACACAGGGCCAGGACAAGCCTTGTTGCTCTCCAGGTAAGAACATTTCATATAGAAAGAAATACAAAGGTCACCAAGGAGGGCACCTGCTTATTACTTCTTTGTTTAACAGAATAAATAGAAAGCAGTTTCCCTGTTTTGTAATCAAGTTATAATGTTCTATTTGGGACCCAGAAGAGACAGAGGAATCTCGTATAAGATTTGAGTTAACTATGTAATCTGTTCTATGCCTTTATGGCCCACATGCCAAAACTGGTCTGTTATCTGTGTTTATAATAAAGTTTTATTGAAACATAGTCTCATCCACTTGTTTACATCTTCTCTATGACAGCATTCATGCTATAACTGCTGAGCTGCTGATGTCCCACAGAAATCATATGGCTGTAAAGATTAAAATATTTACTATCTACCCCTTCACAGAAAGTTTGCTGGTACCTTCTCTATGGAATTCAGAATGCCATCTAAATCAGTGCTACACACACCAAAGATAATGTGACCATGAGTTAAACAAAGCTCTGTAGCCTCTACATAAGGAATGGGTTGTCATCACTTTGTCTATTTAGTGAATACGTTGAACACCCTCACAATAATCTAGAGAGTCTAATTAGGAAAAGGAAAAATTCAGATTGTACTTCTGATCTGATAAATTCATGCTTCTTGGCCAGTCACACATATTTCTTTTAAATCAAAGCAATACAATCATGTAGAAGAGTTCTGTTTTTTTTTTAAATTTTTCAGTGACATAACAAGCTCCTTTGTTTAGCTTCCAATCTCAGTTCATCCTGGTATCTAGGAGAAAAACTTTTCAGCCAGAAAACTCAATTATTTCTCCTAAAATGAAAAAATATAAATCTAGAAAACTTACAGCATCTAACCTTGGGCAGGTTCAGAGTAGGAAGGATGGAAAGTCTGAAAAAAGAGAGAGGGAAAATCTCTAACTCTCCCAGAGGTGACCAATAACGGTGAAGCTTTCTCAGTGTGCCTGCAGCATAAACATACCAATCCTGTAAAGAGCAAGGTACCACCAGAGATCATGCAGGAAACCACAGCTGCTAGGGGCTCTGTTCCTAGTGTCCGCTAAACCTTCTGGTGATACTTTAAGACAGCACTAGGATGTCCCAAAACACTTTACAGAAATGAAATATTTGAGAATATTCAACCTCATTGTCTCATTCCACCAGTGCACACATTTGACTGCTGACTCGTACTTCTGCCATTTGAGGATGCATTTACAATAACACTAACAGCTGATGAAAAGTAGGCACAGCTGACTATTTTGTCTTCTTAATGTAACCAGAAAGGAGTGAGACAAAATAACTGACACTAAGAAGAACTCTGCTTCTGTTCATTTCAACACCCAGTTTGCTGAAAGGATACAATCACATAACATATTAACCATATAAGTATTAACCATTAAAGTTGTTTTGTCTGTTTTGTTTAGGTGGGAAACAGAATTATAAAAAGAACACAGAGTCACTGCTCTGTTAATGTACACCAGAACTGCCAATGGCAACTACAGATTTTCAGCTAATACAGTGTATAGAGAATTTTTATTACAAATTTCCTATAAAGAAAAAAACAGCTGTTTCAGATCTGATAAATTCATGCTTCTTGGCCAGTCACACATATTTCTTTTAAATCAAAGCAATACAAGCATGCAGTTTTTGCATTCTTAGGAAATGTAATTCCTGCTCTCAGTAATCAACTTATGCTTCTTCTGGTAACATTTTTATTAATAACAAGTCTTTAGTTCAAACCAAGCTTCTAGAAATGATGTAGATTTTCAGGGTAGTAGCAGAGAAAACCAACACATTGTAGGGACTCACCACATTAACTACTTAAATATGAGAGATTTAATCTCAACACAGTTTAATAACTCATGTGGAACATTTCAAATAAACATTTCCAAAGGACATTAAAAAATCAGGATGCCAGAGAACAATTCTAATTAAACATAAGCCTTCCCCAAAGGTTTCTCAGTACTGTAAAATACTTAAGGGAGAGGTTTCTTTGTAAACATCTGAAATGATTAATCTGTTTTTAAAAATAGAACATTCAAGGGACTCTGACCTTCTGTGCAACATACAAGAATCACAACAATATATCAGTAACAGTGAAGCCCAAAATTTAACAATGACATACTTTCCCCTAACTACAACAGGACTTACTATTACAAAACTACTATGATATGAGCAAACATCAAACACTGGAGGCCAAGAATACCACCTCAATCTGTGCTATTTTTCTGTTATTTTTACAAATTGGGATACAGTATATTTTGGTACAAAGTTAGAAACTAACATTAAGGGTATAGGTGGTAAATCATAACTTTGCTTTAATTTGACACTCAGGAGCTTAATCCAGCGTTCCATACAGGACATTGCACATGTCCCTCTTTATGTTTGAAGAACAGCATCTGCAAAAGTGTACTGAAAAATCTGTAAAAACTGTATTTGTTTGCATGGGGCAGGGGAGGAGGAGTAGCAATCTAGCAGGTTTAGAAATAGATAAACTTAAATTTTTAATTAAAAATATGCTATTTAAAAAAAAAGAAATACATACCCTTGAGGAGAGAGTTTGTCCAACCATCCCGATTTAATCTTCCTTGCAGATGATCCATAAAAGCAGGCATAGGGAGATATTACATTTGAGGAAATAACTGATGAATCAGCATTTCTGCTTGTTGAGCTTAAGGGATAACTATGCCTATTAATAGGGTCCAAATTCAATGGCTTCTGAGTCCTAGATTTAGATGCCTTTGAACTTTTTCTTCTTAAACTCTGAAAACATTCTTCTACTGTTGAATATTCTGATTCTGAAGCAGAGTCTATTGGAAAATTGTTTTTGTCCTCTCGAGGGATCCAAATATCTTCTACTTTGTCTTCACTTACGTTCTCCTTCCTGTTATCATATATGCTAAATGGAAAAGAATGGTGTTAACATTTCAAAGTGCTGTATGTCTGATTACTTTCTTAATTTATAAACAACCAATCACAGAGATTCAAGCTCAAGAAAATCTTACAGTTCAAGTAACCCATTTGATAATTTTTAAAACACTTCTGGAAAAATTAAATAGAAATATCTCAGTATCCTAAGACATATTTGAACACTACTAGAAGTAGTATATTTTCTCTTGTGTATTATTTAACCTGATCTGTTTATTTTGGGGGTTGGATGTAAGTGGTAAGATTGGAGATTAACTGTATTCTTTGTATCACAATTGAACATCTTTACCAGCACCATTAAGTAGCAAGCCCAACCTCTAGTCCCTGAAAACCTTATGAACCACTAACTCATCTGCTTTTAGATCTTGCTTCCAAATTTGTCCCTTCTCTAGCTCTCCCATTAATCAACTCCAAGGATGTTATGCTCCATCATAATAAAACAGGGAGTATGTATGATGGGTTAGACCTTTTACTACTATTTTGCAACCCTACTGAGGAAAATTACATTACATTGTAAGCTAGAAAATGAGAAGGGGTCAGAATACACTCAGAAGGTAAATGTTATATAACACACTATTTAATGGAATGCATTCATAATGGCTAAGCATATTGCTATAGGTTTAAGGAATGAAAAAATAGATTCACTTAGCCATTTATGTATAATAAAACTCATTACAAAGAAGTTTTTTGCCAATCAGTGAAACAGATATGCCTAGCGGTCAAATTACATCCTTTTGGATACTGTTCTAAAAACCATTAGTTCCTTAAAGAATGATTTTAACCTGGCTTCTTTCAGACTTTGCATTATAATATGCTCACATGAAATGCTTACTGATACTCAATTATTTAGATTCAATTTAAGGAAACCCACAAAAATGTTAGCCTTGGAAAATGAAGGATAAAACAGAAGATAAAAGGAACATCAGGTAAAGATGCAGTACACCAAGTCCTAACAAGGCTGAGAAAAAAATTAAATGTAAGTTGGTGCCTCACAAACTTAATTTCATGTATGATCGCAGTAAGTGGATAATTATCAAGACATTCATCAGTGCTGAACTTACAATAAAAAAGATAACATTACATTTGTTCAAATTCTGCACCTCATATAGTGATATTTCTTGCACTGTCCCACATCAACACATGACTTCTCATCTTTGAAATGCAATAATGGTCACCACATATTTGCCACTTTGGTTTCAATCAGGAAAAGACAAAAGTAATCTGTTACGGAATACCACTATATGCTCTATTTATAGTTTCTAAATTCAATTATTAAAATGAGTGCTGTTATTGAAACATTTAGAAAGATTTGAACTTTTATAAATTATTTTCTTAGAAATATGAGCAAGAAGTCAACATTATATAACATTCTACTCAAAAGAATCATCATCAATCATAAACTCATACCTTGATTTGACAAAAAAAGAGTTTCTTTCAGTGGTTGTTTCCCTCTTGAGTGTTTTTTCACTGGTCCAAAATTCATTCTTTATAGACTTTTTCTATTTTAAAAAAAAGTATTTTTTTAGGGTAGTAATATGCTACAAAGATCCACAATATCTGTAGTTAGTTTTATTAAACAAATATCTAATTGTTTAGATCAATTTTCAGGAAAAACAATGAATTAGGGAGACTTTAATAAACAGTAGCCTTTTGATACCTATTTAAATCATTAATAATGGATTGTTTCAACTAAGATATACAAAACATGCTAACCAAGAACAAATTTTTTTTTACTTTTCCTCTTGTGTCTTCCAACTTCTCTTTTAGTATGACTAATAAATAAAATACCAAAGGAACACAAATACTGGAGAGGAAGGACCAAGTGAGAGGCTGAATAATTAAGATATGTAAATAGCCAGAAGACTGTATTTAGGTACAAAGCAAAGCAAAATCTAGGGAGTTTTTTGTTTGCTTGCTTTCTATGGGAGTTTGTCGTCTTCTTTCTTTTTAAGTAGCTTGTCTTGTGGCAAATCTTGAAAAACCCACTGTCCTCCATTCTTGAAATCAAACTGAAATGTTTTTGTGATACATATTTAAAGATATAAATTTGCCATGATCTTGCTAAACAGAATTTTACTGACTGGAAAGTCCTTCAGTATAACATATTCAAACAGCTTATAGAATATGAAGAGGCAAATATAGATAGAAGAGTGAAGAATTGAACATGGGGGAAAAAAAAAGTATGGGACTAACCTTAGAATTTTCTAGTCTCTGGAAGAGAAAGGTCTCTCCATAAGGAAAAATAGAAGATGAATTCTCCTCATTTGAATCTTTTGGAGGAATTATAGGATGATAATGGAAAGATGTGAATAAAGTTAAATATTTTTAAAAAGACATGTTTAATTATTTTATAGCAATAATCACAACTTCAGCTTTATTCTGACAGTCCAAAATTATGCTCATAATTCTTATCTCCAATAAACTCTCCCCATGGTCTTCTTGATGCAGTGCTCACTGTAAATACCCCTTACTTCACAACCAAGACATAGAGCTCACTGTTTCTTAAAATGTAACTTTTCATATGTCCTTTGTAAACTCTAAGATCCACATTAATATAACTAAGCACCTTTCCCACATACAATGGAAATTGTCCTGTTGAGATTTATGTTAATTCCTAAATAGTATTAATGACAGAAAATTTATCTTAATTCTACTATAATTTTCAATAATTATTGAAAGTTCACTATTGTAATGACTGTCATTACACTCAAATACCAGAATCCACTTAATATAATCTAATACTATAGCTACTGACACATCTGTAAATAATTTCAAGAGAATTTCCAACATCCTTAAATCACACCAATCTTCAAGGAAGAATTCTAAACACTTGCATTTTCTGCTATGGCAAAATTTTTCTTAAGATTCAGTAACCAAATACTTGACATCTTACTGTTAAAAAGAATGTTCCTAAACTTGTAGAAGTAGATTTTCAAAATGAAAGAAAATGCTCTGTCAATGATCAATTTACCAAAGCAATGTCAGCCCTTTCCTGTTACCATGGCAAAATTACATTCCATAAATCTATGTCCTGTGGCCAGACTGTCAGAAACCACTTAATTTAGTTAAAACGCCTTTGAATGTGACTAATGATAAATGAAGCCTGTACAAAAAAGTATTTTTACATGAGCATATAATTTCCAGGAGTTTGAGTAGATATTACTGTCTTTTATTCACTCACCTTTAAAGTGTCTGAAGTACTTTGGACCTTAGCAGATGCTTATTCCCATTATTCCCTATTCTACAGGTGGGCTGCCTGTTTGATCCCATTTTTTAACACACTTAAGACTCTCAAATGACTTTTTACAGACACTTTAAAAGCTGAGACTCACTTTGCTGTGTCACAGACTTCCCAGATGAGGTAGAAGTATTTCTTCTCTCACGGAAATAGCTTAAAGCAAAGGGAAAAGTACATAAATTAAAACAGACAGGTAAAAATAGATACATTACTATCTTAAGTAAAAGGATTAATTATGAAGACATAGATTATTTTCAGTAGAAAAAAACAGTACTCAAAAGTAAGTTTGATTTTAATTAAACAGAACGGCCAAATTCCACAAATGTATTTCTCTAAATAGGCTTAAAGGAAAGAGATTTCATTGGATATTACAAATGTTTGCTTCTCCTATTTCAAGTACAGAAAAGTAAATAAATATATTTGCCCAATGCTAGTATGCACATAAAAGAATCTAAAAACTGTTAGCCATACTCCTGTGAGAAACTAATTTTCTAACTAGATGTTGGTATTTATGTAGTTTTTCTGTCATCAGCTTTGTAATATTGAGTGAAAAATACACAAGACATTTTCTCAAAGTTCTTACAGCCTTAGGAGGGAGATATTACAGATACGTAGCAATGACAAAGGAAAACACTGGAGGAACAGAGGGAAATGAATACCTAACCACTCTATGAAAGAGTTCTACTGCTTTCCCATCTAAATGTAAGGTTCATGACAGTGTTCTTTACCTCTCTTAAATATATATATGCTAAAGTAACTACAAGCAAGGATATAGAAAAAGAGTAGAAACCAATGAAACAGAATAGGAGCAAAATTTAAAAATCATTGTAACCAAAAGCTGGTTCTCTGAAGAGCAATAAAATTATTAAACCTCAGGGAAGGAAAATAAAAGTGAGCCAGAGGAATAAATTAATATCAGAAATGAAGGAGAGGACATCACTATAAATCCTACAAACATAAAGGGGTAATTACAGATTATTAAAAAAAATTTATGCCAATAAACTCAACAATTTAAATGAAATGGAAAAACTTGAGCTACACATTATCAAATATGACACAAAGAATAAATAGAAAGTCTCAATATCCCTGTATCTGTTAGAGAAATTTAATTTAGTAATTTATCACCTACCCTCAAATAGTCTAGGCCCTGATATTTCACTGTTAAATTCCATAAAACATTTAAGGAGGAAATAATAGGAATCCCACACAAACTTTTTCAGAAAATAAGGAAAGAGGGACTACTTCCCAGGTCATTCTATAAAGCCAGTATTACTGATACAAAATCATCAAAAACAAAACTACAGATAAATATTCCTCAGAAACTTAGATGCAAAAACCATTAATAAAATATCAGCAAATCAAATTCAATAATATATAAAAAAGGCAATACAAGAGAACAAGATGAAATTTACCCCCAGGAAAGTAAAAGCTGGTTTTCATTGGAAAAATCGTAATTCAACACACTAAGGAAATAAAGGGAAAAATTATATTCTTGTAACAGATCCAGAAAAGCCAATTGACAAAATTCAACATTTATTCATCACAAAAACTCTCAGCATACTAGAAATAGAAGAAAATTTCCTCAACTGAATAAAGTGCATTTATGAAAAACCTACATCATAATTAATGGTTAAAAACTGAATGATTTCCCCTAAGATTGGGAGTAAGAAAAAGAGGTCTGTTTGCACTACTTATATTCACATTATCTCAGAGGTCTCAGCCAGCACAATATGACAAGTGAAAGAAATAAGACGCACGAATATCATAAAGGAAAGTATCTTATATGCCGAAGGTTAGCTAATAATTAAGTAGAAAATCCTCAAGAATTTACAAAAAAAACTTCTCAAACAAATAAGTCAGTCTGGCAAGGCCCCAGGATAAGAGGCAATTATTTAAAAATTCAACAGTTTTCCAAAATGCTAGCAATAAACAACTGGAAAAGTAGTTTGAAAAGTCAACTTTTACAACAGTATACAAAAGTACTAAGAGATAAACTTACCAAAATATGGGCAAAATCTAGACTGAAAACTATTAAACATTGTTGAGTAAAATTAGACAATGAAGATAAAGTTACACCATGTTAATGGAAGACTCAAAGTTGTTAGTTCTCCACAAACTGATAAACAGAATCAACATAACCCCAAACAAAATTTCAGTAGGCTTTTTTATAGAAATTAACAAAGTGACTTTAAAATTTACATGCATATACAAATAACCTAGAATGTCAGAATAAAACTGGAAAATTTATATAATACGATTTCAATATTTAGACTAAACTACTGAATTAAATCAGTGTAGTACTGGTGGAAGGACAGACATAAGCTTACCTATGACACAGCAATTCTACTCCTAGGTATATACAACAGACATGCACATAGATATGCTCCAAGAAAAAAACACCCAAATGTATGTCAGCATGAAAACAGTGAAACAAACTGTGAGTCACACACTATTCAACAACAGCAAACTGAAAGGCAGCAACATGTGTACATCTCAAAAACACCACGTTGAGTAAAAGATTGGCACAAAATGTTTCTTGCTGTATGATTCCATTTATATGAAATTCTAGAGAAGGCAAAACTAATTTATAAGATCAGTCTGATGCAAAGGGTATGGTAATGTACTGATAATGGGCCAAAGAGATTTTTGGAAATTGATAGAAATGTCCTACATTGTGATATTGTGATGGTCACATGGGTGTATATGTTTGCCAAAACTCATCAACCTGTATTCTTAAAATGAGTCTATTATACTATTTGCAAATCAGATATAAATAAAGCTGATTTACATTATGTGTATACATACACATTATTTAAATGTAAAATACTGGCCATGTTGAGAATATGAAATATTTATCAACAGAATGAATATCATGGTATAGCCATATGATGAATACTATACAGCAGTAAAAATAAACCACAACAATCAGCACTGATGAGTCTCAAAGTTAAGCAAAATGAGCTTAACTGAAAGAATATTTGTTATATGATTGCATATTTTTCTTAAGTTCACAAAACAGTCAAAACTATACTGTTTGGAATATACTTAAGATGTAAAAAAAAAAAACTTAAGCAAGAAAATAACTGTTATTTAAATTCAGGATAGAAGGTGTCTTTCACAAGAAAAGGGCACAACAACTCTACGAAAGAGTTACAGAGGAATTCCTCCTTGTTCATCATCTCTAGATTCTTGATACTGTTACCAACTATAATTATTTCTTCAAATTTGTTCTGACACAAGAACACAGTAATGATTTGTACCCTTGAGTAGAGCAGTGTTCAAATTTTCTACATCTTTGGTAATCTCTGCTAATAATAAATATTCCTAATTCTGATTAAGCATTTACATGTCAGACACAAGTCTCAAAATTATACACACACACACACACACACACACACACACAATGTATCTTCACAAACAACCTAGTAAGAACTATTATTACCTGCATTTTTTTAAGAAGAAAATTGACACACAAAAGCTGTTAACTGACTTTCCCACAGTCACACAGATCATTAGTAACTAACTGGGCATTCAAACCCAGGCAGTCTAGTTCCATATTCTAAACGACAATGCTTACTAAAAAACTCAACCTTAATTTACTGAAAAATATACACAAATGAAAAAAAAAAAAGACTTTAAACTATTTTAAGTACACCCATTAATGGTATTTTAAAGCATTATATGTTGTTGGTTTAACTATTAGTCATATGAAATGTAAAAATATGTGATGATTTTTTATTTTTATACTCAATATCTACCTGCAAGCGATTACCAAATCTATCACCCAAGTTTATTTCACCTATTGTAGATGAAAGACTGGCTCAATACAGGAAACAAATTGTTCTGAAAACTGTTGATTAGCAATTTATATCCTCATTTATCTATGAATAAATTATCACAAGATATTTTATATTCTAATGCATATTATGCCCAAAGCATAATGTAAGGAAATTATATAGCTACATCTAACATCTCAATCTAATAACAGCCCTATGAGGTAGGTCTTGGTGTCCTAATCCTACCAATAAGGAAAGAAAGCTCTCCCAGCCCAAGTCCCACAGCTAAAAGGAGGCAAAGTCAACTTCAATGTCAATTCTTCCTTAAGTGAGAAGTCCATGTTCTTTCCTCCAGTCTGCCTCCTTCTGCCCTTTTATTTTCCCACCAGTTATCCTAATTGAGATTACTTTTAAATTTAAAATATTAAACATGATTAAACTGCAAAAATTACAAACCCATAAAGAAAAGTGGTAGTTATCCTCCTGTTAATATGCTTTCGTGATCTTGGTCAAGTTACTTACAGCTCTGAACTGGATTCCTCATTTATTGAAGCGGAATAAAAATAGGTCTTGCTGCCTAGGAATATGAGAAGTAACGAAATAATACTTTTAAAGAGCTTAAGGTGTGTCCTATCCAATGTAAACACAGTAAGAATCTGCTATTATTATTTTTACTAGAGAAAAAAAATGGTTGGTCTTCCTTGCAAACTGAATGTGCACATTTGTTTCTTTAAGTTTAAAAAGCATGAAAACTCTTCAGTTGTGATAGTGAAAAAGTTTTAACCTAGTAGGGGAATAAACTGTGGTGTTTTACCTTTTAATAAAATAATATAGAGCAGTTAATGCATAGAATATGTGCTTTGATATGGACAAATCTCAAAACCAAAATTGACTGCAACATCAACTTGTGAAAAAATAACTCTGATTACCCAAGTGACTCGTCAGCATACTAGAGATGGTTTTTTTTGTTTCACGTAGATTTAATCATAAAAATTGCCAAGACAGAGGTGGAGCCAAGATGGCGGCATGAGTAGAACAGTGGGAATCTCCTCCCAAAAACATACATATTTTTGAAAATACAACAAATACAACTAATCCTAAAAGAGAGACCAGAAGACACATGACAACAGCCAGACTACATTCACACCTGCAAGAACCCAGCACCTGGTGAAAGGGGTAAGATACAAGCCCCAGCCCGGCGGGGCTCGAGCACCCCTCACCCCAGCTCCCAGCGGGAGGAGAGGAGTCAGAGCAGGGAGGGAGAGGGAGCGCAGGACTGCTAAGCACCCAGCCCTAGCCATCCGCACCAGAGCGCAGACACAGTGCATGCGTGGAGTGCTGGAAACTAGGGAAACGGCAGCAAGACCTCGGAGCGGG